CTGCAGATGCATCCTGGGAAACTCCAAAGGTACTACATGATTGTCTTAACTATATTCTTTCCCAAACTTGCTCCACCTAGAGCAAAGTCAATGTCAAAGAGCAAAATTGCCAAAATAAAACAAAACAGGAAAAACTCAAATTTGCCCTAACTTATCTCCTTTTCTTATACTACAAATGCAGTCTATTAGGGAATCTTGTCAGCTCTTTCCTCAATATATGTCAGCTCTCACCTCAATATATGAGGTGACTTGTTTTTATCACCTCTACCACATCTAAACCATCATTATCTCTTGCTTGGATTATTTTAATAGCTTCTTCACTGGTCTTTCTGCTATTCATTTTGTTCCCAATCATCTGTTATCCCTAATCAGAATGGTTCTGTTAATGTGTCTGTCAGATCTTGACCTTGTCATCTCTTTCCACCCAAAACTCTCCAGCAACTTCCCATCTCCCTTAGATCGAGAGCCAAAGTGTCTACAATAGTTCATAAAGCCGCCCGTGGCCCAGCCCCTCCTACAGCGCTAACTTCACCTCCTGCTCCTACACCCCTCACTGACTTGGCTTCCATTGTACTGGCCTTCTTACTGTCGCTCAACAGGCCATTCACTCTTCCATCCCCAAACACTGAACGCTTGCCCTTCCTTCAACCTCGTACACTTCCTCCTAGACAGTCATGTGGCTTGCCTGTCACCGCTGGCCTTTTCTCTGAAGCCACCTTCTCAGTGAGGCCTTCTCTAATGGCTCCATTTAAAATGGAGACCTCCCCTACTTTACCTGCCTATCCATCCTTCTGTGCTATGTTTTTCCCTGTACTTTTTACCATCCTGTAGTATAGCATATTATTTATGTTTTTAATTGTCCTACTTCTCTAGAGTGTAACCTGTGTAAAGGCAGGATTTTTGTCTGCTTTGTGTGTGGTGGTATCTTCAGCACTTAAAATAATACCTGACAGATACTCAAAAAATAGCTATTGAATGAATGAATGGATGAATGAATGACTGGGAAGTCAATGGATAGATGAAAGGTTTAGCGTGCCTGGGCTTCGGGCAAATGCCTACTTTTCTGTTGTTCTCAGAGATGAGCTTCAGGTAATGAGTTCTCAGCGGCAGAGCAGAGCTGTCTTCTCTCCTCCACACAGTGTTGTTTTTTGTTTTCATTGAATTAAATGCCTTTAGGAAAATCACAAATTCCTATTTACCACTCCTTCTGCCCTCGTATGACTTACACTTGGCCAATGTACAGATTTAGCCTATCTGCCTGCTTAAATTTTGAAGGCGTTCAAGTTTGTGACCCTGCTAATTTCACTTGAAAGGCCACTCTGGAGGGCAGTGTTACAGAGGTCAAAGCCATGATTCATTGATTTATTGCAAATTGGGTATTTGTCATGGACTGGGCTAACACCAGGGAACCAAAGATGCAGAAATCTCTTCCTCAAAAGCTAGACATGTAATGAGTTGTCACAAAAAGCCAGAGTCTCACACTCAGTAGCCCCTCAGGCTTAACACAAGAGCCTTTCCTTTCTCCCCCCAGAAGGCTGCATTTCAGAGATACTGTCATTTTGACATAGCGTTAGATATTTCCTTCTTTCCTTCTCGTGTCTCAGTTTATTTTTTTCCCCTCATGTTAACTAAATAAATAGATCTTTCTCTGAGGAGTCAGGCTCCAGGCCAGACTGAATCTAATGTGTAGTCTTTTCGGTCCAACCGGGCCTTGCCTGTCACATCGTGAAGAGAAGCTGCCTTTCCCGGTCTGGACTTGCTGTACAGCCAAGGCACTGGAGTTTCCTGGAGAGGTTTGCAGTCATGTCCTGCAAACCTCTCCATGCTGCGCTGCCCTGGTGCAACCATGCTGGTGTGTGTGCCAGCTACGGTCCTAGCCCAGAGGCCTCCATTCAGAGACCTCCTTCTTGGAGGCCTTAACTGAGGTGCTTTTTTCTACTTGGACTCAGTGCCTTTCTTCTCCTTGCCCTGCCCTGACCCAGGGGTCCATAAGGAGGCAGGGGCCTTCTGTTTGCAATGCTTCTGCAGTGAGGTGATTTCCCTTTTCTGTGCTGCTGCCACCTGACCCTGGCCTGTTGCTGTCCCACAGGAAGAAACTGAACACTAGGATGCTGCACTTCTCTGTGCCTCTTGATTGTTACTGATTTGGGGGTACTCTGAACATCCAGGAAAGTTATGAAAAACTAAACTGATTCCTCATGCTCCTGTGTCTCTTCACTTTTCTCCTTTTCTCTCTAATATCTTGGGACCAGTAGAAAGCTTAGCATTCTCTTGGTTTTCACCTATTATTTCACCTATCTCACCTATTATTTATTCTTTTCACCAGAAGTGAAAAGAATATGACTTTTCACTTCTGTTAAATAATCCTTCCTAGTTTGGAGTTAATCCCATCCACTGGAAGCCACTAACGATGTCCAATCATACTTCTAATGACATTTAAATTCTTTATTATTATGGGTAATCGTGACCCCAAATATCTGACTCTCGATTCTCAAACCTTAGCCCTGTCAGTCTGTGCCTCACCCATGACATCGCAGCCACACTGGTCTTCTTTCTTAAACACACCAACCCTTTCCTCCGTGAGGGACTTCGTACACACTTTTGCCTCTGCCTCTGTTTTTCCCCAGCTCTTAGCCTGGCTGGCTGCTCATGCCTTAGTTCAAAGGTCACCTCCATAGGCGGTTGTTCCTGTTCGGGTGTGTTCCTCTTGCAGTCATTCTTATTCCACTGCCTTGCTTTATTTTTATAACAATTAGCACCACCTTAAAAATATGTTGTTCGTTTCCTTCCTTCTTTATTACTAGAATGATGCTCCCATTTTCTTCATATTCCAGGGCTCAGAACAGGGTCTGGTGCATAAACAAATGTGCTTTCTTCCCAGCCTCCTAGTTGACTTCCACCAACATCCAGGTCACTTGCTGTGCTCCGAATGCTCCGAGGGTGGAGTGTGGGTCCAGGTCGCATGAACGGGCTGTTTAGTGCTCTGTTGTGCGGTTCTGTGAGTCCCTCTCCTTAAAAGTGTTTCATCATTGCTCTAGTGCAGTGAGCCATTCTCAGAACCACAATTTATTGTCATCTCAAACTTTTAAAGTTCTTCTCATAGATGATTACTGTACCTCTTTCTCCATTCCTACTTAATTTTTCCTTGTAGCTCTTACTGATTTTAGATACTAATCCTACTAAATTCTCCTACTTCCTAACAAGCTTTCTAAATTTCATTTTCTCTCTTTGGCTTGGCACTCATGACTAGATATTACAATGCACTCTTTCAAGATTTTAAAAGATTCCCTTGTGACACAACTGTACATTGGACTTTCTTTGGCAATGTACTTGGTATTACAGTATCAATATAATTGATTTAACAATGAATAGACTTAGCAATGACAATATTCTTTTCCTGTTATCCTGTTCCAGGGTAGAGAGTACAGCTAGAATCTTAGCTCTGCTTGGTAACCCTGGAATTCACCTCTATTGTGCTGGGGGTTTTTCTTCAAAAAAAGAAAAAAGAAACAGATTCTCTTCTTTGCTCAAGCCTCCAACTATACCTTCATGCTTCCTAAGACCCCGTCTCTTCTACTGAAAAAAAATTTTTGAACAGATGACCTTACCACCTCGATTCCAAATTTATCTAAAGCATCTCCTGTCCTTGTTTTTCTCTGACTTATCTCAGAGCACAAGTATATGATTTAGTTACTTATGATCAGTACCTAGTACGCTTCTGATAGGCATTCATTATACATTGATTGAATAAATGAAATACTAGCAGATAGGCAGTTCAAACATTATTCTCAGGATGTTTAGTATTCTGAAAACCAATACAGATGTGCTTGACAGCTCTGTGGTCTGAAACAGAACTAAGCTAAATAGTAGAAAGCCTTTTGACTTCGTAAAATTAGTAAGAGCACTTAGCTTCACTGTCACACAGGGTCGCATGTGACTGTGTGATTAAATAGATGCCACCCTGACCCTGGAGTCAGGAGACAGAGTTTCTAATCTGGACTCTGCTGCTGGATGTCATTAGCTCTCTAGACTTGAATAACCACATCTGAAAATGAGGGGCCTGGTCGTCTCTAATTTGTCTTCTGCCTCTAGAAATCTATGATTCTTTTCTTCTCGTCATTATATCAAACTGACAGTGAACAGTGATGACTTTATTATAGAATGGGTGAACCTAGGCCATAAGCTAAGTATCTCCAGGTGGATTCTGAAAGGAGAAAAAGCACTGAGGACATACTGAGTCTACTTTATTGTTTTATTTGGGCCTACTCATATGGAAGACATGAAGACTTGAGGCCTGAACCTCGGTCTTTGTACTTATTTCATAAAACAAAGTTAGAAGTTGAGATATGGATCCAAGTATCAACATATACTAGAAAATTTGCTACATACTATGCAAGCAATCTTGTAGTTTTAGTTTTGAAGCAAAAGGAAAACATTGAGGGCTTTTGCACAATGATGTAGATCTTCATTTGTGATACTGTAGATACAGTCTGGCCATGGTGAGTACAGAAAAACCTATTAATTTTCCAATTAGTTTAAATTGGCTATGGAACAGAGCTCATTATTGATTTTGAGTGTAATGTGTTTTAATTGGCTATATTATAACTTTTCAGTTTATGGCCAAGAAAGATGAGAAAATAGAATAAGGATGGGTAAAATTATTATCTCTTACTTTTTTGAGACTATTAATGCTCCTACCCATCACACACTCAAAAAAATGATTTTAGTTATTAATTTTTAAGTCTATTACATTTTATGTATTTTTGTCACTTAATTTTATCCTAAAGCTTCATATTAAGCTCAAGAGAACTATGTGTATAGCTTTGCTTATACTATTATCAATAAGCTCTTTAAGGACCAAGAGGATACAAATAAAAATAACTATATCTCTTCCTTTCTCAAGTATATTGTTTCTGTGTAGTTCTGTGGCTGAGACTGAATTCAATAACAAAGTTACTGAGAAGGTAGGTATTTTTGATGTCATTATTTTATTTGTTTTTTAAAATATGGAATGTTTCATGGATTTGCATGTTATTGTTGCGCAGGGGCCAAGCTAATCTTCTCTGTCTCATTCCAGCTTCAGTACATGGGTTGCCAAAGCAAGCACTGATATTTTTTACATTTTATGTGTATGTGTACTTATTTAAAGATACAAATTAATAGACATTTTTATATAATTAGATGCCAAATGCCAGGTACACTGATGGGCAAAGGAGTGTGCGGGGCACTATTTCAGTTGGACTTGTCGATTATGAACATGTTGCAAACCAAAATAGTATATTTCACTTCCATCTGGAATAACCAGCCTTAGAGGAATAAAATTTCTGGTTCAGGCATCTAGAAAGAAGTGCTGCTATCTGTCTTTCCATGAGAAAAATTGGGTAAAAAGGAGTTCTTATGAGGACATATCTCATGAACATGACATCATCTTTATATAAAACAAAACCTACATATTTATTTATGTGACCATTGCCATTTATCAGCAGGTTTATGCCATTATTGGTTACTGGAAATGATGGATTCTTTACAAGCAGGAATAAAGGAATGAGTTATACCACATTGGAAAGACAGTTGGATGTTTAAAAAATAGTTTTATTTTTTTAATGATTGAGAGCCAGTTTCAGTTGCATTTAGTTTTTTATATTTACTTAGTGGCTATGGGGTGCCTGGCATTCTGCAAACAACATGTTCTGCAGAAGCTCCTGCTGTTAGCCTAGGTAGCTAGTTAGTATTAACAGAGGATGGGAGGGAAGGGAATCAGACATTAAGCCTAATAAACGAGGGAGCTAAATCAGACAATAAGCCTGCTGTGTTGGGCTTTACATGCTCCCCAGGGGCCTGATGCATCCTCTGCCCTGTGGACCTAATCACCCCAGGCAGGAAGGATCATTACCGGTCATTAGCCAGGATTACCAAACCAATAAATAGGAAATTCCTCTGCTGGGCTCTGCCCAGGGGAAGCCAAGATGCTGCTGAGGAAGGTCCTTCTACTAAGAGGCCTGCACAGTGGAAGCTAAGATCTCGCCCATGAGGGGAGGAGTCTAGCTGGGAAAAGGATCGGATTGGATAAGGGACGCAGAAGCCTGGAAGATCAAGGAAACAGAATCGTCAAAGATAAGATCCGGCACAGAGCTAAGAAGGATTGGGGAATTGGTTGGTTTGAAAGAGCACCTAGTCTTTCCCAAGACCAAGATGATATAATCAGAGCCTACCAAAGTCAAAGTCCCTGTCTCTCCCACTTCCCTCTCTCTCCCTCTCTCTTTCCCTCTCCTAGTAATGCAGGTTTGTTTGCCCATTTATCTGTGTTCCCGCTCCATAATAGCTTTGTTGGCTTAGCAGCCACACAGGACCCAGCAGACACACAGGCCCCAAGCACAGGCCCTGTTCAGGTTCCAAGCACAAGCCTGAATACAGCAGTTCAGCACCAGCCGGAGTGCAGGGGAAGCACAGACCATGCTAGCTGGATGGGGGCAGAGGCTGAAGTAGACTAAGCTTTGACGTGGACTAAACCAACGGCACCAATGTTCGGGACCCTGGCCTTTCTTCTGGGATTGATAAAGACAAGACTGGACTTCTTCCATGGTGGGACGGAACTGGACTGGGAACAGTCCTTTGATTTTGCTCCAGCTTCAATAAGTCTTACCACCGTCCTTCAGCCCCCAATGCGTGGTTGGTGAAATGCTTTTCTCACAACATTGGAAGAACCCCATTTCCACCAGCAAGACTACCCTTTAATACAGATGGTCAAATTCGGACAGTTATGCAGTCACATAGTTTCATACACCCACAAATGCACCAATGGAAATACTGCATGGGTTGGGCACAACTCTACTCATCTATGAATGAATAAAAGTGATAAAAAGTAAAACAGATGCTGGTTTAGAAGAAAAGGCAATTTAATCCCCCTTTAACTTTCCCCTTAATAGCACTAAAAATGATATAACATGGATTTATTCATTGTTTACTTGAAGGAACTTTTGTATCACTATTTCAAGGTATTCCTTTTAACTATCCATTGGGCATGTATTTTAAACACCATGTTTTAAAACACCTGTGAAATCACACACTCCAACACCTTCAGACCCATGGTGGATGAAATACTGAATAAAAACAAAAGCAATTTCCAGGCTCTTCTTTTCCTAAAAAGCAGGAAAACATATTTTAATACCTGAATATTCAGCTGTAATATGTATACTTTTGTAGCCTTGCTGTAACAATTTTTTTCCTCCTTGTACAAAGATATAAAAGATGCAATCAGAGGATATTATATTGTCATACACGTCAGAGGAGTAGAGTTGGTATTAAATCTCCCAGAAGGCACTCAGGCAAAGGCATCAAAAAAGGAAATGGCATTACTCTGAACCCCTTTCACCTTTCAACCCCAGGGGGCCTCATTATATCCAAGAGAAGGTATTTGCAAAAGTCAAATGCAGAATGGACTATAAATTATCATGGGGAGTGGTGGGGAGAGGAAGAACTCTCATCATGTCAGAAGCAGCACCCTCTCAAGGACCAAATAAAGTGCTGATTTGACACGCTTTGTGGGTCGTCCAGATACTGAGTATAGGCAGGGGAGGTGTGATAGATGAGACAGCCCATTTAAGGTGGCAGACAATGGTAGGTGATGGCATTGAATAACAATGACTGGAGAGAATTCATGCACCATCACTTGCAAATCCTAGTTACGGACAAGACACCTACAAATGACTGAAATTGGGAAGTATCATAGTCCATGCTTTTCAGCAACTTGGAGCAGCCTCTGTGGGGTCATCAACTGCCAATCTTCATTGTATTAATATTCTAGGTTTTATATCCATTCTGATGAAAAAGTAATGAAACTTCAAAACAATGTAATCATATTACAGTATGTCTAAACCTACCTTCTAAGACACCTTCTATGCTTTGGATAATGCTTTTTGTCATTCAATGACAGTCTATTTTTTTATGCTGCACTGGATAATAAAAATTGCTATTGCAGAGAAATAGCAGTGTCTAGGAAACTTTTGTGATGGATGTTTCTCAGTTCCTAAAATATATTCTTCTTGAATAGAACTTTTTCTCTATAAATGGGAAGATACAGTAGAAATTAGCCAAATTTTTCTTACTTTGAACTTGTATCCTAAAATGTATTTTTCAATTTATTGAGTTCTTACCAAATGCCATATTTTTTACATATGCTATTTATTCATTTAACAACTATCTGTTAAGCAGTAAATGCTATTCAGAAAATTAATGTTATAGCTGTAAACAAAGTAGACAAGCTTTCTTCCTTCATGAACTTGAGTTCTATTTATGGTAGGCAACAAATGAACAAGCTAGAAAATAAAGACACAGTCTGTGAGACATACTATAATAGAAATAAAGTGCATGTACCAAACATTAATTGAACATCTATCATGTGCAAAACAGTGTACAAGATGCTTTCATTTGCTGAAATGAATAACAAAATTAATTTCTTGCCCTCAAGGAGCTTACCAAAGTACAGAAAAATACAAATCATTAATCACTTTGTTCTTGTTAAAGTATTATGTATATGATTTGTTATGTGCTTTTACCTCTAAACTTAATTACTTAAAACCTATTCACCAAAAATTTGTGTTTGAGAGTGCCATAATAAACAAAGACTAAATTTTAGGAGAGTTATGTACAAATCTGAAATTAAATTCCAGAGAGAAAGTTAGCTGACTTTATATCCAAGAATCCAACTAAATTATCTGAATTCAAGATCCAAGAGAAAACTTTTTATGAATAATTTTATAATGTCAACTTGTGTTGGGGGACAACAATGTAAATTTCTCATGTTTTTTTCAAAGTTTGATAATTGTCCAGATTTGTGAAGGAAGGAAAGAAGTTGACCAGGTTGTGGAGAATGGAGATGTGTTATAGACAGATAAAATAGTGTGTATACTGGCCCTGCATTGGTTGGTTGGAGTGTGAAGCCCTCAAAGAATTGAAAAAGAGGGCTGAGTAAAACAAAATGAAGCTGCAGATGGAAAGATGCATGGGAAGGATCCCACAAATGTCATTGTCAAGTAGGTTAAAAAATGCTCATTTTTTTAAGATCAATAGGAAGGCATGATAGTGCTTTAAGCAGAGGTCAATATGATCAGAATTGTTTTTTAATTTTTAAAGCAGCATTTTATTCCAAAATCTGGAAAGTATAGAAAAACTGACATCATATAAAAAGTTACCCATAGGCCTATAATCTAGGATAATGACAGTTAACATTTGGCATGTATCTGTGCAGTTTTATTTTATTTTTATTGTATTTTTCCATTACCATTTATCTCCCCATACCCTCTTCCACCTCCAGCCATCCCCCTCCCCCCTGCAGTCACCACACTGTTGTCCATGTCCCTGAGTGATCATAATTGTTTTCAGAAAACATCACTATGTTGCAAAATAGAGAACTGACTGAAGACTAGCCCACTGTGCACACTGGAAGAATTGGGTGGCTCTTGAGGTGGTCCACTCCAGGCACAATGAGTAGCTTAGGCCAAGTTCTCAGTAGCAGATGGAGCATGGTGAATTAATCTGGGAGGTACTTGAGAGGTATAGTTCATAGGATTTAGTTACTGAATACATATGAAGACTAGAAGGAAAGGAGACTTAAAGGAAGAGATCTGTTTTTACCAGTTGTATAATAGGATGAATAGGATGAACGGTTGTGCCTGCTGTTCATTGAGAGGGCTAAGTTTGGGTAATCAGTGAAAATTTATAGTCCATAATGACTCTAAGTTGCCTTTTAAACAGTTGAGTAAAGTTGACAAGTAAGTAGCTGTTTTCCAGGTACCATATCAGTCAGGGTTCAACCAGAGAGGCAGAACCAGGAGAAGATATGTCTAGATATCTATATAATATGTGTGTGTGTTCTAGAGAATTGGGTAACAAAGGTTGGGGAGCAGGTTAAGCAGTCAAGTCTCTATAAGGATGTTGTCTCTGCATCTGATGCTGGAACTTGAAGTCCATAAGACAGTCTGAAGGGAAGATCACAAGCAGACTGGAATCCAGGACATAAAGAACAGGCCCCCCATGACAGCAGACTGAATCCCATATTTGCTCTTATTTCTCTTACCTTGGTAATGAGGACATCTTACATACCCTT